AGCAATGCAGCCTTAGCCCATGCATGAGGTAAAATGAGAAAATACATTTATTTTGTAATTTCCAATTAACCTTACGCGGGCCGGTCAAAGTCAACCAAAGGGCCGGATGTGGCCCGCGGGCCGTAAAATGCCCAGGTCTGGGATAGTAGATGCCTAAATCGTTGCAAGCAAGCATTATTTTTGTGTTGGAGTAAGACCTTCACAATGGATGCCCATTAGGGTCAAAAAGCCCCAGGGAGGTGCAAACTTCAGCAAAGTAACAAGCACATCAGACTCCCTTTCATCACTGGCGTCATAAAGGTGCCTGCCCACAGGTCACCCTTATTCTGTTATATTATGTCATGTTATGTTGTTGTATGTCAAATCTTGGACGGGTTGTTCTGAAACTCATCTTGTTGTACCGAGACGCTGGTTCAGTGACAACAAACTTCAGTCTAAGTTCATGAATGTTCGTGAACTCACAAATTGGGTCACAGTGGTGAAGACTGTTGCTGGTTTAGTGTCCAGGAAACAGCAGAGCACATCTCGGCTAGTAGACGCTAAGCATTAGCAACTCTACCGCACAGCAGAACTCCATCAGGCTTGCGTTATTTGTGAAGATTAAAAAAAAAATCAGCGTTGCAAAGAAAACAAAATAAGTGGTTGTCACGTTTAGGAGAGGAAGTTAGACCCAGGATGCAGAAGTACCCAGAACGACTCAACGGCTGGAGAGGTTTTAAGAAAAAACAATTCCTTTATTTCAGGAGGCTGTGCTGAAAAAATCCCAAGCACAAAATAAGACTAAGACTCAAAAACTTGAAACTCAAAATTAACTAAGCTCACACATGAGCATGGACTCGGAGAGACTCGAGAGGGGAACGAACAACGCAACACATAAGACAATGACCCAACAAACACTGAGTGACAAGACAAGGCTTATAAACAGGAGGGAGGTAATCAGGGAAACTGGTGACAGGTGTGAGGAGTGTGAGCTGAGGAGAAACTGGTGGAATCAATTAACAAAATGTGAAGGGAAAGAGCTTGACCAGAGGGCAGATAAACCTAAACCTATAAACACAAAACTAAACCTAAAGACTGAGGGCAAAAAATAAACAAATAACTAGATGGATGAGGAAGACTAAAATAAGATTGACTAGGAATGGAGGATGATTAGAAGGACACCTGAGGGAAGTCTACAGAGGGCTGGGGATAATAATGGGACACAAGAGGAAAACCTGAAGTGGAACAGGAGGGGCTGGGGAACAAAGAGTCACAGAACATGACAGTACAACCCCCCCCCCCCCCCCCCCCCCCCCCCCCCCCCAGGGCAGATACCAGACGCACAAGACAAAGACAAAACCATAAACAAAAGACAGAATCAAAACAGGACAGTGGTAGAGTCGTGTTGCTGTTAGCCAATCAGAGGCAAGATGTCCGAATATCAGGACATAAGATTCTAAATCCTGTCATCAGCAAATGTGTAGAAAAAATGTGAACTCTGTCTTTAAATCTTTAAAAACGCAAGAGCTTGTTTTGAAGAATGGATGATAACAAATTTTAGCTGAAATAGCATCTGTGCAAAGGCTCAGTGAAGTAAATTTGTTACGACGGGTAGCGCAGTGTCAGGATACATTGAGGCAAAGGGTAAAGAAAAGAATGTGGATAGAATTTAAAGAGCAAGTCACCCCCTACCAGAGTATTACTCCACTCCCACTTCCTGTTTGAAAAATGCAACAAATGCTCTTGCCTAGCAGACCGACAGGCCAGAGCCGCTAACAAATACACACACACACACAGGCTCACAACAACATTGTGACATCCTATGGTACCAGCTAACGTCCTAGGGTACCTCTTAGCCAATAGCGAGGGCAGATTTAAATTCGAATGCAGTGCAGAGTTTTTACCTGACAACGGCACAACACTGTTATGTTCTGTGTCCCTTTGTTCCCCAGCCCCCTCCTATTCCCACTCCAGGCTCTCCTCTTGTGTCCTCCTAGTCACTCCCTGGTTTTCCTAGTTGTCTTTAGGTTAGTTGTCCTCACCTATCTGGTTATTAGTGGTTTATTTTGCCCTCTGTCTTTTAGGTTTAGTTAGATCCATGTGTTTATAGGTTTATGTTTGCAGCCCTCCAGATTATCCCTCCCAGGTCCTGTGTTCCTTCGGTCTCCCCCAGTCACCCCTCCGCAGTTTTTATAGGTTCAGCTTTTCATTTTTATTAGTCTCTTTAGTGTGTTCTCCCACCGGTGTTTGTAGTTTTCCTTCCCCTTAGAATACTAGTTACTGTATATTTGCTGCTCTTCTTGTCTTTAGGTTTTACCCCTTCTTTTCACCGGAGCCGTCAGCAGCACGTTACTGCAGCAGCACGTCTTGCTCGCATAAGCCGCTGCTTGGCCCTTCCCACGAGACGCGAAGCAGCAGGGGAGCAGCTGTCACTGACAAAGCACGAAGTCACACGGGTGACTTCGTCAGTAAACACAACAACAAGCAGGAGGAAACTACAACATGGCTCCAAAAGGTTTGTTTTTTATGTTCTGTCCGTTTTATAACCGCCAATACGGACCTGAAAAACAAAGGAGACCGCTAGCTAGGTGATAACTTCTCACGAGGCCGCACAGTTAGTAACTTTTTTTTTAAAGTTAAGCAACCGGAAGGCAGTACATTTCTTTATTCTGAAAATCTTGAGAAGCTTCGCTCCATTTCCACGTCCGATTTCCTGTCTTTCCTTCCCCAAAAATGTCAAACTTGACCCGTTTCAGAGGCATCGCGCGTAGAAAATAGAACCGGCGCTTAAGGGCCGCGACATGCTGCTCCTGAGACGAGGCCGACTCGCTCTGCTGACGGTTCTGGTGGAAAGAAGGGGTAACTCTTAGGTCATGTTAGTTTCCTCCCTGATTAGTTAATTGCTTTCACTTGGTTTCTCTCCCCACACACCTGCAGCCTATCTGCCTCCCATCATGCCCCAGTGTATATAACCCTGTCTGCGTCTCTGTCTGTTGTCGGTCCATTGTCTTATGTCAGCGTTGTTTTGGCCCTCCCTACTCGTCTCTAGGTCTCTGCTCATTAAGTGAGCTTTTGTTAGTTTTTTTTTTTTTGCCTGAGTTTAGTTATTAGGTTTTGGCCTCCACCCCTTTGGATTTTTGGTTATCTTCCTAAATAAAAGATTTTAGTTTTTTTTTCAACCGCTCCTGCCTGTGTGTTCTGGATTTCTGCATTTTGGGTCCAAACCTCCTGCGACAAACACTGACAGTTTTAGGCAGAAAATTTTATTTTTAACTTAAATGCACTAAAGTGCTAAACTATTGACTACACGTGTCTGCAGCACAATTAGACATGCATTTATACAGTTTTTCAGAAAAAAAAGTTGATTTGGGGGTGACTTGCTCTTTAAAAGCGTAAATGGTTGTACATTTTTCCCATCAGTCAGTCTGACGTACCTTACACAGAGCCAGCAGATGAAAATTGACCATCTCTAAATGATACACAGCTTGGCATTTAAAATCACCTAAATGAGAGAAGCACCATTCCACTCACAAGGTTCTCAGGCAGAATAACAAGCAATCAGACAGCGAAGAGGCTGAAACAAGCAGCCAGCCACCTTTGGGACTCAGAGTTCAGCGGTTTTTGTCAGCAGCCTGGGAGGCTCTGTAATGTTTCATAATCAAGCCTATCCCTCCAAGCGTGCAGAGATGCTGGACTGAGCTGATATTAGTATGCCCCTGGTGTGGTTTGGTGACAAACGCTGAATCTCCCTTCCTCTCATCGCAGCGTGTCAGATGGAGGATTTTATGTGGCAGAAGGTGGAATGAAATGTGTTTGGTGGCTTTCCAGCAAACATAGACTTGTCAGTGGCTTTTACTGTTTTAGGAGACCTGACGGTCCAAACGAACGTCATTATTTTGTTGTTTTTCAACACAATGACTGTAGATGAAGAGCAATGTTTAAATTACGCACTAGAATTTCCAATTCCCTAACAGTGAGTTTGCAGATGTGGGTCAGGCTGCTGCAGTCATGCTGTAATCTGAAAACTGATGAAGTTCGATGACGAAATTACAGGACTGTAGTGTACCTGGAACAGCTTCCTCCCTCCTGCCACCATGACAGCTGCAATTGGTGATAGAGATGACTGCCAACTTCTGGCACAGACTTTGCATAACCTGACATCTTCTCTCTGTTTGTACATTTTTTGAAGGGGAAGGGGAAAGCTTATCTCATTTCTGTGTTTCCAGTGGGGAATAAAAAAACAGCTCAGGCTATGACAGACTGTCTCACATAGCTGCTAAGTGCCTGATATTGGTCTCTTTCCATATTTTTCTTATTTTTCTGCATGATCGGTTTAATTAAAGGCCTACATTTTCTCTTTTTCCTGTCAGACTTTGACCAGTTTGGACAACTGGCTAACGGCTTTAAACTTTTTTTGCTGCTTTAGAAAATTTCACGAATAAGCACCCTCACTATCACCCTCACCAAGTGAACAGATGTCAAATGATCAGAGACTAGAGTAGTGAAAGAATCATTGTACTTAATTATACATGAAGGTGATGTGCTTTGCTTGTCTGCAAATGTGTCAGATTAAATATTTCACATATATAAGTTCATTTTACATACTTTACAAAATATCTAAGACCATTTTAATGTCTTATGAGCACATTAAATGTTTAACTTACTGATAATTAAACAGCATCTTCTACGGTGATTTTTTTCATGCAAATCTTCTTCAAGTTTTTTAAGATATTGTAGATTGCAATATATATATATATATATATATATATATATATATATATATATATATATATATATATATATATATATACAGCAACAATAACATTTTTTCCCCAACCTGACACTGATAATTTACAGAGTCCGAAAAAACAGAAAGTAAAACAAAAAAGAAGTTAAAAGACTAACACTTTCCACAAAAATCCTGATATTGTCTTAAATGTTTGAGGGTTTGTTGCACTGAAAGCCTTTTGCAGAGACTGCACATTCGACAGTATCTAATTCCTTTAATGTTGCATCAATAATTTAACCATCATATTACAGGTTGGTTTAATTTTATAATTAAGATTGGACCTCTAAGATGTGCTTTAAGGAGACATTTCTTAATATTAGTTTTTTGTTGGTACAAAATATGTTTATCAAGTTTTTTGCACTAACTCCCTCTCAAATGAAACAATGTAATGATTTTCTTTTTCTTTGGCACAACTTGAATGTTACTGTGGCTGGGCAAAGGACGCATAGCTGGAGTGCTTTAACTCAACTGTCCGTCCTCAAAGAGGAGACGCCGGAGCAGGCGTGAGAGAGGCGCATGAACTTAGACAAAGAGTGGAGTGTAAAATAAGTGTGTGTGTGTGTGTGTGTGTGTGTGTGTGTGTGTGTTTGTCGTGCTCAGTAGCTGAGTAGTTGTAGTGTAATTAATGTTTTGCAAATGTTTATCTGTTAGACCTCCTTTATTTCCCCTCGGACTGCTCACATTGGCCCCTAGTGGGTGTGGCCACCTGGGCCCACGCCCATTGGATAATCCGGCCCTGTGTCATGTTCTGTGTCCCTTTGTTCCCCAGCCCCTCCAGTTCCCACTCCAGGTTTTCCTCTTGTGTCCCATTATTCTCCTCAGCCCTCACCCCTCTAGTTATTGGTTGTTTATATTGGCCCTCAGTCCCTAAGTTTAGTTATCTGTGTTTTATAGTTTTAGGTTTATCTGCCCTCCTCTGGTTTTGTTCCCCATTTAGATAATTGTATGCACCTGCTTTCCCTCCAGCCTTCACTCCACACACCTGCTGCCTGTTTCCCTAATTGCTCCTCTCTGTGTATATAGGCCTTGTCTTGTCCTTCAGTATTTGTTGGTCCATTGTATTTGTCTGAGCTGTTCTGTGTCCTCCCATGTTTTTGTCTTGAGTCCTGTTTTTGAGACTTCAGTTTTTTTAGTTTTTAATCGGTGGATTAAGCCTCACCTTACAAGAATAAAGCATTTATTTCTTTACCTCCGCTCCTGTCTGCGTGATCTGGTGTTTCTGCATCTTGGGTTCAATTCTCCTGCCCATCAACGTGACACCCTGGTCACAAACTGGGACTTTTCTAACGGCTTGTTTCAGGCACAGACTGCAATTCCTGTTTGTCCCTGTTTATTTTCTCTTAGTGATTAAGCAGGAAATATTTTCACATTCAGCCTGCATGTGAATCTCAGAGTGACTGATCATAATTTAAAAAATAACAAGTAAAAATCAGTGAATATCCTCTTTAAAGTAATCATTGTGTGCATCTGCCGCCAAATGCATGATGTAAAAGCTTACTTCTCCTCGGAAGCCCTGAAAGTCGCTGCTCAGGAACTTGTGCATGCACTCACATAACAAAATAGATTTAGAAACAACCTCACTATTGTTCCTCATGCAGCTCATTTTTCGTGTTGCTGTGTTGAATCAGAGCACACACAGAGAGCTGGGGACAACACCAAAGCACCAAAGTGACCGTGCTGAGGAAAGCCTTTTTTCTCTTGCCTTTTCTTCGCATCCACCCATTTATAGCAAATTCACTGGCTGCCAAATTTGATAGATAGCAGGTAATGTTATCCACCTTGACATTTTCCCAGTAAAAGCTAATCTCTGGAATTTAAGCTAAATTTCCTCCTCGCCTCCTTTATTTATCGATTTAACACAGAGGTGTGCGAGCTAAAGGCTGAGATAGGGAAGGACGATTGGCTTTTTAAAACACGCTTGCATCTTGTTAGATAAAAAATTTTAGTGACACGACATACATTGTATTTGGAGGGGACTTTCAGCTTGGTGGGGAACAGTTTGGTGAAAGGCAAGGTGAATGCTGATCTGCTGCGATTAAATGCAAACATTCACAATGAAAAAAAAACATGAAATCTTCTGATTCATATATGTATTTAAAAAGAAATCACACCTCTACCCTTGTGCATTCTGTCCTTTTGTACCATTCAGAGCAAATGTAAGCTTGTTTATTGTTCAAGCAGAGAAAAAGTCGTCATGGCTTATGCTTATCTCTTTCTTTTTAGCAGAAGGTGTCATGGGGCTAGAAGAAACACAAAGGGTCCCTGAAGAGAAAAAGAAGAGAAATTTGCCGACTCTGTGTGGGCAGCATTAGTCCAACATCCCTCCCTGGTGGGGAGGGGGTGGAGGGATGGCGTGGACTATAAAGGACCCCAGCTTTGTCAGGATGTGAACGATGGACAATGCCGTCACTGTGCTGCTGAGAGCAGGAGCCGTGCTGCGACTGGTTCCATAAGACTGCCAACGCTTGTCACACTTATGCCTTTCTTTTGTTCGGGTCTTTCTTCAATCTTGCTCTGATTTCCTAGTATTTCTGCACTTTCTGGTTTTATTTTTCCCCTCTTCTCTTTGCAGTGGTCTCTTTTCCTTTCATGAGCTTCACTTATCTTGTCACAAAGAAAATAATTTACCTCTGCAACTTGTCTGCGTAAACATTTACACCCTGATGGGCTTTTAAAACACAGGATTGCGTCAGTGCTAGAGATCATTTACTGTCTCGTTTTTCAACACTTTGTGTTTTTGATAAAACCATTAAATTCAATATCTCTCACCTTGTCTCTATTAACTTTCAAAAGGTTTTTGCTTGTGGCAGCAGTAAACTTTAAGATTAAATTGACTTGAAATGTGTACTATTATAATGTTCTTGTTACTCTTGCTGGTTTGAGAAAGTGTTTTGGTTGGTTTTTGTTAAGAGAAACAGAGTTTATTTTAAAACAGTTGGTTCAAATGTGGCCAAGACCAAATTTTATTCTGCAGTCTTAAATCTGCTCCCATCTTCAAAACTTCTTAGCAGTTCATATAATTTTTATTAAACAAACCATTACATTGCTGTTAGTTTCACATTACACACTATTTACGAGCATATTAATAACCACCAGCTACAAAATGTGTAACTGAAACTCAAAGTACAGATCCAAACACAGCAAACTATGGAAAAAGTGAAACTTTTTTAATGATCAGACAAAAAGACAAGTTCCTAGAGAACTAACAAAGCAAGACATAAAGTCATGGGGTCCAAAGAATCTGGCAAAGAAGATAAAAAATGGAGTCCAAAGATCACAGCAAATAAATTACTGCAAATATATTACGACAAAAACAACAATGAAAATCCAATATCATGCAGGGGTCAAGTCCAACAGGACTAATTTTTGCTAAAATACCCACTGAAGTTTTTTTTTAAATAACACATTAATGAAATGTTGCAAAATCAGAAGATCAGAGTTGTTTTCATCTAATTTAGGTTAGGGCTGATTTGAATTCACTAAATTTTAGCTAATCAAATGATACTGTTGCAAGCTCTCGCATGCCAGAAACAATGGGGGCAATAAACGAAGTCATAAGGAGCTCAAAGATAAGTGAGAGCCTGTTGCTGCGAGTGGAATCAGGCAGGTGATAAGGAGGAGTGGTCCAACTGAAAAGGAAGTTGCACAGGATGCGGGACAGAAGAAGGCCAACTGAAGAGACATCTCAGGATGTGAAAGTCCTCCGTGGGGGAGCTGTGGACTTTGGGTGGAGCTGAAACCAGCTTACAAATATAACGATCATATGGGTTTGGCTGTCTTGTGTTTGACTGAGATATGTAACTGACAAATAATCACATTGTTTTGCCGTCTTGTGATAAAAAGATGTATGTAACTGACAAATGATTACATTGTTTGGCTGTCTCAAGACTGGTTGAGATATTGCTTCACTATGGAAAATGTTTTGCTTGGTTTTTAGAATGATATATAAAGGGCAGTTAGAGAGATGGAGAGTGCGACAGTTAGAGTTGACACAAGTCGACGAAGTAGCAGCGACAGTTGCAGGAAGAAAGAGCAGTTATTCTCAGGAAGATTTTTAGAAGGAGCATCCTCCTAAGGGGATTTGTTAATCTTAGATTTACTCTTTTTTGTATTTTTTAATTTTTGAAATAAAGTTTTTGGAAAAATAATCCTCGTTCTCAATTCAAAAGGTCCAAAGGTCTCTTTTAGCTTTTGAGTGGGAGCCCCGACCAGATCTGGTAGCAAAAGGTAAGCCACCTTAAATTGCTTGTTCCTGTGCTTCAGGACTTGTTTCAGGTTGTGACAGATTAAGAAAAGATACCTTAGGTAATGGGAGCTAGTCTCTCCTCCTCCCTCGTGCAGCGGGACATCCTAAGGGTTATAAACCATAATGGTTAGCTGGTTCAAACAGGCTCTGTTCTGCACGTCTGAAAAAGTCTCTGTTTAGCGTGGGAAGGAACCATTTCAAAGGGTGGATTAATTAGATTAATTGATAAATCCATGTTAGCCTGACCAACTAAGAGGAATCATTTTCTAGTTTCCATCGCCCACATATGCTGACAGAGGTACAAATTAATCCTGATAGGACCCAAATAATAGTCAACTGGAAGGCCTCCAGTGAACTTCCGCCCTAGTATTTAAAACCATTAAATAACGGGAAATTAAAAGGAAAGTGTGTTGTCACAGAAGAACAAGTACAGCAATCTCCATTCCACCTTAAAATAGAAAACAAGTTCTAATTAGGGAGTCCAAAGCAGGGTCTGAACAATAAAACTTGCCTGCGGCCTCATTACCCTGAAAAAGCAGCGTATTCTAAGGTTCTAATGGAACCACTAAAAGTGCACGCTCGCTACGATATAAATGGATCGTCAGTGGTGGTGCAATGGGAAAAACCACAGGTTTGACTCCTGGTGCTCTGCATGGAATTACCATGTTCTCCCCATGCATGCATGGGTTTTCTCCAAGGACTTTGTTTTCCTCCCCAGGCCAAAAATAGGCATAGATTAACTGAAAATCACTTATGATAAAAGCATCTGCAAAATGTAGCCATTTTACAGCCTAATCTTCTAAATTTCACAGTGGTTAATATTGGTGTTATTTAAAAAACGTTTGCATTACAAAGTTATTTATGCAGGAAAATGAAGACATTTCTAAACCCTGGATGCTTTTGAAGTGCAACATTTAGCTGCTGGTGATATTTATGTGGGCAGAGAAGCACAGCACTACATGTAATGTGATTAGATGAACATAGGCTGATCCGGACGTTTTCTATAGGGGTTAAGATTGGAAGCATTTCAAACTTTTACTCAGAAAGACACCAAAACAACAATGAAAATCCTATATCATGCAGGGTTCAAGTCCAACAGGACAAATTTTTGCTAAAATACCCACTGAAGTTTTTTTGAAATAACACATTAATGAATTGTTGCAAAATCAGAAGATCAGAGTTGTTTTCATCTAATTTAGGTTAGAGCTGATTTGAATGCACTAAATTTTAGCTAATCAAATGATACTGTTGCAAGCTCTCCCATGCCAGAAACAATGGGGTTAATAAACAAAGTCATAAGAAGCACAAAGATAAGCGAGAGCCTGTTGCTGCGAGTGGAATCAGGCAGGTGATAAGGAGGAGTGGTCCAACTGAAAAGGAAGCTTCTTTTTCCGTCACTCGCAGAGTACAGACACTTCTGTTTTTGCTCCCTTATCTTTTTTCCCAAGGCTCTTCGTCCTGCCTGCCTACAGAGCACTTCTCTGCATTTCTTCTGGAAATCCCTATTTTTTAGAAATGGATTTAATTAATTGGTCATTCAACGAGATTGATAAGTCTTGTCCACGATGAGAACAGAGGAGGGGGCTCCCACTTGCCCGCAAGGGACACACGCAGCGGGATATGCGCTTGATTCCTGGAAGGTGTGGAGGATTGTATGTCTCTCTCAGCTGTCCATTGAGGACGTCGAAGATATGTGGATATTTGGCCTGATGATCACTGGATTTCTTCTGATTGGTGTGGGAGGATATCTGGTTTTCTGGAAATTTGGGAAGACGAGAGCGATTGGAGGGCGACCCGCACCCACGGGAAGCATTGCCCGGGCGGAGACCTCACAGACTGGGACGTTACTCGAGGTGAATCGTAAACTGGACAATGTCCTAGCTGCGTTACCGGTGTTAGTGCGCAAAATGGATGTCATCTCGGAGAGGGTCACCAGGTCGTGTGGAGATGTTTAAGACCTAAATTGGCTTCACTGAAGGACTGGAATGACCAGTTACAGACTGAAGGCAGAGAGGAAAATTATCTCTGCCTGACCCAAACAAAGTCTTGTTATCCAAATCTGACACCAAGGCAGCCTTCAAGATGCCAACAACAACAACCCCCACAAAGGTTGAAATGCAGACAGATGCAGTGAATCCCCCCCCCCTGTGGTTGCGAACGACCACAGTCACCAATTCTTGTCATGTGTCTTGCCCAGTATGTCTGACCTCTGAATTGTGTGTACTGAAACTCTAATTTCCCTTCCTTGGGACAAATAAAGCTTTTCATTCATTTCATCTTCATTCAAAATGACCAAAACGTCCCTCTAATTTATGAGCAGTAATTTTAAATATGATTATTTTTTCACTGAAATCAATGTATCAGTAACTAAAGACTGCCTGACAACAAATTAAAATAGATGATTATACAAAATACTGCTACATTGATTTTTACCCCCCCCCCCCCCCCCCCCCCCAAAGGTTGTTGTTATGCAGTGTAGAGATAAAACATAATTAAAAACCTCTTCAGGCAATCTTGGCTGCTTTCAGAAACTGGATGAGTGTCAATGTAATTTGCTGCAGATAAAGTAAGACTCCCTTTCAAACAGCTCTGGGCCATAATGCACTTGAGCTGGATCATAATAGCAGCCGGCCTATATGCTCCATATAAAGAACTGACTCTCTGAGGAGACCTCAGCGAGAGGAGAACTGAAACATCATGTGCAACATACAAATTGAGGCAGCGGCGATTGTGCTGTCAGATGCATTTAAGTTCCAATGAAAAAAGAAATGCATAAGATGCTGCATATAAATGTGGAAGCTGCCGGCTGTGTGATGAACTTTAAAGGTCTGATTCACTGAAAAACCAGTTTGATGCTAATTTCTGATTAGAATCGGTGACGGTGAGTTTTTCATGCAGGCTGAACATGAAAATAGTCTCCTACACCTACCTGCTGCATTAGCTTCTTTATTATTATTATTTTTTACCGTGTCCTGTCTGGCTGTGAAGCAAACAGAATTAATGTCTGAATGCTGGTGACAAGCCTTACAGATTTACTCTCAGGTGGAGCATCAAAGCTTCTGCTTTTAATGTCACGCCTGATACTTAAATCTTTATTGTTATAGTTTTTTGAATGCTTTGTAATTCCGATCAGACACGGAGACAGAGGCGAAAGAGACAGGAAGAGACAAGGGGGGTGGGGGGTGGTGGGGGGGGGGGGTGTGTGTGTGTGTGTGTGTGTGTGTGTGGGGGGGGGGGGGGGGGGGTCCACAAAAACAATCAATGATGAACAACAGTCTGCTTCTAGACCAAGCCCCCACAATGCGGCTCAAAAATTGAGGCCAACCCGGAAGTACCAAAAATTGCAGTTCCACCCTCATCTGCTGGGGGCTGGTGTCAGAAGCGAGCAAATCCTCATTGGCTCCCCTGTTAAAAATACCAATTTCACAATAAACATGTTTACAGCCTGGTACCAAAACATGTTTTTTGTTTAAATGATCTAGTTTACACTCATGACAACTCTGAGGGGGGTGAATTTTT